TGCAGCCTGCCTGCTGACAGACCAGAGCTAACGAACGTCATGAATTTGCTTTTTAAAATTGAAGGCCTATTTGAACTCGTTTGTAGTCTCATTTTAAAAACATTAGAAAGTATTGTTTTATACTTGTTTGTTAATAAACCTTTATTAACAGCTACAGTCTCAGAGAAATTCTGATGCTGTGAAGTTTCACACTGGACAATCTCATAACAAGATCTCATTAAAAAAAATCTCCTAAGACAAGAATTGATCTTACTGCTGCAGTTGCTATGGGGGAGCAACATAACACTTGCTCAGAGGTGGAAGTGATAAGCCAAGAGTTTTTTACTAAATTTGCAAACAGCATTATCTAGCAGAAGGAGCTCTTGGTCAGGAAACATGAAATGTTTCCACCGTTGCTGTGCTCTGTCTGGGTTTGAAGATGTTGATAGATTTGGAGTTACCAAAAGTGCTGCTCAAACAGGCAGAACTGTACGTTCAGAAGCTTGACTTCAGCTTCCTGGTTGTGAACAGGTTGAACTTCTATGTTAATAGCACATGGAAAGCTTTCTTTGATACACCAAGTGCAAGCAGCTTTTAATTATTAACTCTGGAATAGGTGTTCTTTTTCTTCTGAAGCAATTGTCTATGATAAGAGTACAGCTTTCACCTTTTGTATCTAAGTATGTAATTAACCTTAATACAAATAGCCCTTGTGACAATGGGTGTAACTCTTTGGGCAAAGGTACTTTACTGGTCATGCATGCAAAGGTACCTCACTGATCGAGGCCTAAACTTCCAGGGGTTTTTGCTTGTTTGTTTGGGTTGTTTGTCTGTTTTTAGTGCCCACAGCAGTTTCAGGTAGTTCAACAAGACATTGCCAGCATTAGTATTTTAAAATGCCAGCTGTGTGTATTCTTAGAGGTTACAATCCTGCAGATATTTGACCTGGCTGAAATCAGGCTGTGGGTCTATAAACTAAATCATCCTTGCAGCCTGTCCACATGCAGTGGTACCCCGTACTCCAGGCTCCCTGGGGTGCGCAGGCCTGGCCTCCGCTCCTAGAGCTGCCTCTTCTGCCGCCTGTGGCCACTGCCACCGGCGGTGTGACCAGCCTTGGGTGGTTGGTGCGTACCAGGACTAAAGGCAGTCCTTGTCCTTCAGCCCTCTGCTGTAGGGATTGCGTTTACAAATCGTGCATCTGCATCTCTAACAGGCTTTGTTTGAAAAACGAAATGCAAAAACAACACCCAAGCCCTCTTAGTGGTTAATGCCACATTGAGTGCAAAATTAATACAAGACCTGATCATCCGTTCTTCTCTTTTAAATTTCTGGTACCTCAGAAGTGGGGCACACAAAATACATCTCTTTATCTGAACGGTGCCAGAATGATTTGCTGGGGAACCAGAAAACAACTTACTATCTCATTTCTTATCACTAATACAGGCTAGTCTAGGGACCTGACTTACTTAGTCCCAGGACACTTAGAGGCAAGGTCTACGTCTCAGTTTCAGGCCACGTATCAGCAGCTTCTGATTGCCATTAGATGATTACGGTAACCTTTGGTATGATTGTGTAGCAGATCATAGCTGCCCTTCCTGGAAGAAAGTGGAAGAATATCTTTAGCTGTAGCAGCTGGTCTGTACTTCCATGTGCATCTGTGATGGGACTAGCAAGGCTGAATATTCCGTACTCAAAGCTAGAACCATCTTTACCTTTTTTCTGTATGTGCCAGGGCGATGTTAATGCTTTTATCTCTCTTGGACAATACAGCCAGCAGCATTAACTTGATTATCTTGCTGTGATTAGTGAAAGGTGAGACCCATAACACTCAGCAAATGGGGACTGGTGTGAATGTGTGATGTCTAGGAGCAGTTAGCTCAGGAAGCAATGAGAATGATTCAGAACCATCAGCATCATGTACTGTCATAGCTCTAGGTTTGAAGAACAGAAGTAATGGTGTGGTGGTGGTGTGGGCTGAGCACTGTACAGGAACCTGGCTGGTACTGTTTCTGTAAGGGACATTGCCGCCCTCCTGGCATACAAACTCTGTGATAGCCCACACAGAGTGTCAGCTGTCGGTGTGAGCTGATTCAAGTGTGGTGGCAAAACCTCTTGTTATTAGCCTGTGATACCAGAATAGAGCTCAGCTTGCCTGTTTCCCTTTGAGAGCAACAGTCTGTCTGAGTTTAGATGCCATAGTTATGCCTGTAGCTAAAAGTTGTGTTTCGTCAAGTGTCTGTAGTCTCTCTTGGTATAAATGTAGTGAGATAAGGGATCTACTTTAAAAGGAAACTTGGAGGAGGTTTTGGTTATCCCCTCTCCCTTTCCCCACACCAGAAGCAACCTGAGATCATGAGGCTTTCCCTGTTAACATCAAGGGGATGCCTGATGCATTGGTGGCCGTTGGCTTCGCTGAGGCTCTGGGTTTTTACCTGGTTCGAGTATGGCATGTCATGGCCTATAGAAATAACTATAGAGCAAGGCAGAGGCTTTTTCCTGAACCCGTTGCTTTCTTAGTTCTTAGGGCAAAGGTTTTCCTGCTGCTTGATCTGTTTTTTCCAAGAGGGAGGGGAGAGTAAGGGATTGGAGAAAAAAACCCCTCCTCCTCTTCTTGCATGGTTTATTTCATTAAATCATCAGCCATCAAGCGGATAGTGTACTTGCTAAGGTTTCATTCTGTGCTGAGGCAGCAGGGCGCAGGAATGAAAATGGTTCCTGAGCATGTTGGGAATCCTACTCTTGTCCTCGTGTGGAAATAGCAGGGCTATACGGAGCACACAGTAAATGCCTGTATAGCCTGGTCTGCCAGTGCTGTTGCTCCCACCAGCAGAGAGCACCGATGGTGAATTACAGCTTTAGCTCACTGATCAGGACGCTTTTCTGTGCTGGGTGTGCACTGTGCCTCAAGGTTTGTGTGGGAGCAGACAGCCTTGGGCTTGGTGCACAAGTGGAAGACCGACGTGAGCTGGGAGTCAGGTGGAGGAGATTGTCCTTGGTGCGGTAGGTGCAAAATCCGGGCTTGCTGTGTCACCTCTCTGGTTTCCGGCTTCCCAAGTAGATCTGGCGTGGTAACTGATGGGCTTGCTGTCGAACCAGTGCCTGGTAGCATGGCTGTGGGACCTTGTCCGGTGTGTCTCTGCTCCAGTGTTTTCTCTGAGCACTTACCTGTTAAATCTCCTGTCATTTCTGGGAGCACGGACAGCCTTTCTGCATGGAGGCATGCTTTATTTTTACCCTTATTTCCAAGGGAATTTCACAGGCAGATGGATTGCTTTCCGTGTGTTTGTTTCTTTTGCCTGTTCTCACCCTGCTTGAATGAATTAATCTCCCTCCATTGCTCCTGGTGAGAGGGTTCTCGCCTGCTGTGAAACCATGCTGGCAGCAGGCCGATGGCATTTGGATGTGCCTCCTCTGCTCTGTGAAGAAGAGCTGCTCGAGGACTGGGAACTGACAGCTGTATGTGGCAGTATAGTCTCCTATGTTGCACTGGCTGTCGGGGAAAGCATGCTCAGAAGAGGAGGAAATACAGTAATTCTCAGTGTGGGGAACTCTGGAAATCATGTGAGAGCATGAGAAGCAGCAGTAGAGTGTCTCACGTTAATTTTCAGGAATTTCTTAGTAACATGAGATGTTCACAACGTCCTCTTCTCAAGGTTGCACTTACTTACGTGGGAGGAGTGCTTTTTACCACTTTATAGTTGGGGAAAACACGGTAAAGGGCAGCCACTTGACATTTATGTGTGTGCGGCTATGGTGAGCGGTGAACAACTGTGTCCTTGGTGTGGACAGGTCATGTACTGTGTGTTCAAACTCTGTCACTTCTGCAGCAAACAGTGCTGCTATTGTACGTGACAGTGCAAGACATGCTCCTTTCCTGGCATTTATAAAGCATAGCTTATATCCCGATAATCAGCTTCTGTGGTCACAGAGTAAATCAGAGCCAGCTTGCAAACCCAGAAGCCCTGACCTGCAACCCAAACTGTTGCTGATGCTTCCTCTGTGTCCTCTTTCCCTGCCAAAGAGTTTTCACTTCTTCCTTTTCCCTGCTCACCGCAAACTCATGCACCTCTCAAACTGGTCTCTCTGTTATTGTAGGTCTTCTTGAGCTGAAAGGATGAAAATTGGCGATTGGAAAGTCACCGTCACTGTCCTAAGTTTCATCCTAACCTCTGGAGTCTCAGTTGATGTCTTTGGGTGTATGAGCCTGCGGGAGTGTCTGCCGTCCCCTTCCATGATTTAGACAGCAGCTTGGAACATGCATCATTGTAAGGTTTACATGAATTTCAGCGCTGGCGGTGACACTGTCCCTTTCCCAGTTGGTGCAAAGGGGTTAATTGCACAGTGGAGCTGCCTATCTAAAATGGTCCTGAATCCCGGATCCCCTCCTACCCTGAGGGTCTCTTCCTGCTCCCTCCTTCTGTGCTGGGCAGCACATCCCTGGGCTCACTCATGCCAAATCAGTCCCTGCCCTCCCCACCATCAGTCACCAGCTTCCAACAGCGAAGCTGGCCCCTGGCTCGCTTTGCATCTGACCTTCTATATCCCTTTTTGCACGCTGTGATTCCAGAGCGGGATGGTTGGCCACCGAAATTGCAATGTCGTCCCTGACGACCTCCAGTGAGGCAGAAAACTGCGCTCCCAGGTTTGTTGTTGGTTCCAGGGATGATGAGACAGATTTTCTGGAATCAAACATGAAGACAGACGAAACTGATTTCTTTGAAGATGATGAAGAGGAGGAGTCGGTAAGGAGGTCCTGGCGTTCTGGGTTGGAGCATCTGTGCAGAGTTTTTGGGTCTCAGCCAGGGTTTGTGCAGCTGCTGGCTGAGGCCACAGGCAGTTGGGACTTCGGGGGACACGGCACCAGGCTGTGTGGCACGACCAGGGGAATGGCAGTGTCATTTCTGAGAGGACTTACTGCATTGTTGTGCTGCCATGCTCGGTGCAGCGTCATGCTGCAGTAAATCCTAGCCTTTTTGCTTGCAGGTCTTTCTCAGGTACAATAGTGTATTTCTTTGTCCTAGCAACTTAACCCTGACACTCCTGTAAACCTTTCTGTTTCACCAGGGAAATGTTTGAGGAAAACTCTGGGAACAGCGAAAAGGGCAAAGGTGTGTCTGCAGAGTGGAGGCATTTACTCTTTTCTGTAACCTCTAGGAACAGGGTGCAGAAAGGAGAATGATCTCCAGCTCCTGACTGCTTTTCAGTGTTACATTAAACATTTCAGTGTTATATTAAATGTTACATTTGCTGTTCTGCACATGGGACTTGGATGCTGCAGGGACATTGCTGGTGGCTGTGCGAATTGCTGGGACCATACACCAATGCAATGGTCATTTCCATTGCCTCTGTACCCCAAGTCTCTGTTGCAAGTGGGTTGTTGACCTAGGAGCCCACACTGATTCCCTTCAAACTCATGTAGTGTTGTGTACCTTGATGCTCAGTGGAGAGCTATTTATCAGGTGTAGTGGAGGATTTGGAAGCCCTTTTGCTTCCCAGATGCTGTTTTTACTGTGGCACCTTGGTTTGCAAGTCAGTGCAGGAACTTCTAAAGTCTCAACTTACAGTTTGAAGCCGCAATTGTTTGCGTTAGGTAACCCACAGTCCTGTGTATATCGCTTCAGATGATCTCACTGCATTTAATCTTGCTTGGGCCAGAATTAATCTGTCAGGAAAACGTCCAGTCTGGGGCTTCTAAACAGTGACAGAAAGTCTGCCACAGACCTTAGTCTGTTCCTCTGTTAGGGTTACCAATACTTTTTGGATGCACACCTTCTCTCTTGACTTACTCAACTTTGTCCCACTGGATCTTGTTGTACCTTTGTCAGATATATGGAAGAGAACTTGGTACTGTTTCTCTTCTACTCATAGCTACTTACTGTTGTAATCTCCCCTTCATTTTCTCTCAGATAAGACAAACAGACTGAGTTCCTGGACTTTTTTGCTATAAAATATTTGCAGCTCTTCTCTGAGCCTGCCTAAGTCCACCAACTGCCTTGGTGAGTTATGGGCGAGAGAACATGATGTGGGATTCCTGTCCCTGCTGCTTGTTCAGGTGCCTGATATTTATTTCTGACCTTAGCATTAGAGCCCAGTAAAAGGAGGAGGTACATACTACCTGGCAAAGAAGTGGTTGTTTTGGGCTGATTCTTAATGATGTCTCCCTCAGTGGACTCTAGTGGGAGCTGGAAGCGTGTATGGGTTTGAGTCTAGCAAGAGCTGTGAGTGCATAAGGTTGGAAGAAAATCTCTTGTTTGTTCTGCATTGCTGCATTTCTATGCTGTCAATTCAGTAAAGTCGTTGACCCTGTACTAAACTGGTCTCTGTCTTCCCTTAGCCACCTGAACGGCAGATTGTGGTTGGCATCTGTGCCATGACCAAAAAGTCCAAGTCAAAGCCCATGACACAGATTCTGGAGCGTCTGTGCAAGTTTGAGTATATCACAGTGGTGATTATGGGGGAAGATGTTATTCTGAATGAACCGGTGGAGAACTGGCCCTCTTGTGACTGCCTAATATCGTTCCACTCCAAAGGTAAAAAGTCTGTGGCAGGCCTTAGCCTACTTGAGATTGGGACAAGGGAGCTTCCACTCATTCTTTCCCCTTGCTCCCTGTATTTCAGGATTCCCCCTGGATAAAGCGGTTGCTTATGCCAAGCTGTGCAAGCCATTTCTGATTAATGACCTTGATATGCAGTATTATATCCAGGACAGGTAGGTGCCTGTGATCCACTAAAGCCCCTTCCCTCTTCCTTTGATTCCTCTCCTCAGCATGCTGTGCAAACTTCATCTTCCTGGACACAAGCAAATGAGTGAGATGGGGAGGAAGGGGACCTTAGCAGTGGTTTTTAGGGGTTGTTTCTCCAAAACATTGAGAGGAATAGATTTGGGGGTAAAACTGTTGAGATGGCATGCTGTGTTTTCTGGTGCAAATGTCTTGTAAGGAATGGCTAGATGAAGTAGGAAGTGGAAGAGGTCTCACAGAACAAGACTGCCATGACTAAGGCAAAAAGAGTAGTCTCTGAGTAGGAGAGCCAAGTAGTGGGATGGGTTTCTGGGACAGAAATTGGGAGTAAGGCCAGATCAGGTTCTGAGGAGGGTATGTTGGTCAGACACTTCAAGAGGCTTCTCAGTCAGCTGTTGGTAAAGGCCACCAGCAGTCAGGTACCTATGGGTGGGGCTCATACCAGACCCCAAACCTCCTGCGCTGTGTTTGGGTTGCGAGCGGTGTTCCTGTGGTTGCTGACAGATACCCTAAAGTGTAACTCTAGTGAAAGAATTGCGGTTTCCCCACAGACATCAGATGAAAAGAGACTCTGCTGCATCTACCTGGCCTGGGCCTTGGGCAGCTTAGCATGAGAAGGCAGATCTGGGGAGATGGCAGGTGCTGGGTGTGTTGCTGTGGATTGGGCACGTGCTAGTAAATGAGCATCCATGTTTAGGCCAGGCAGAGATTTACTTTTGGTCATCTCTGTCAAGAGTAGGACTGAGGCATGCCCCATAGCCTGTAGGTCCTATCTGGAGAGCATGTGCTGAGAGCGTGTGCGCTCTCTCTTTAGGCTTGTTTGTGTTCATTTGACTTTGTTCCTCGTCAGAGAGAGTGAAGCCTTTCCCTTGGCATGTACTGAGCACCTTCTAGACTCTTCTGACACTATTTCTGTCCTCTGCAGGCGTGAAGTGTATCGAATCCTTCAAGAAGAGGGAATAGACTTGCCCCGCTATGCTGTGCTCAATCGAGACCCTGATAGACCAGAAGGTCAGTGTCCAAGCTCTGCTGAAAACCATTTTCACATACTGGACTATTTAGGATATTCTGCAGAGAACAGGTACTGATAATCAGCTTAAAGAGGCCTGATTCACAAGTCTGCTGTTTTTTGTGGACAAAGATCCAAACAGTGAATCTGGCTGACTGGCCAGGACTGAAGGACTTCGGCTCTGCACTAGGCTGTCTCACCCTTTCCTGACGTGCTGCTGCTGTGCTTTGTCTTCAGAATGCAACTTGGTGGAAGGAGAGGACCACGTGGAGGTAAATGGAGCTGTTTTCCCAAAGCCATTTGTAGAGAAGCCAGTCAGTGCTGAAGACCATAATGTGTATATTTACTACCCGACGTCAGCAGGTGGGGGCAGCCAGCGGCTCTTTCGGAAGGTAAGGAGGGGTGCTGCAGTTTTGGTGTTGGAACCAACAGATCTGTGGCTCTGAGACCCATGTGGCTTCAGGAGGGAGTGCTGGGGCAGGTGAAGGGGAAAGGAACGTTTTGTGTTGGGGAGATCTAGACCTTTGTAGAACTTTTAGCTGAACCCCATCTACCTGGGAATTACAGAAGGACGTATTTTAGAGGTAGTGCTGACTTCACCTTCCTCATCCTCTGTTTGACCTGAGTCCTGTCTAGCAGTCATGGAGAACTGTGTCCCTTATTGAATGTCATGCTGCTTTTTCCAGATCACTTCCTCAGTTTATCAAGATTTTTTTTTAAAAAAACCTTATGTTCCTGTCCTCTAACATCATTGTTGCCCTTCTCAGCTTAGCGTAGGTTGCAAATGTAATAAATGCAGTATTTATTCCTAGATCCCACAGGGAATCTGCCCTTGCTCACTTCCTCCACTTTGCCAGCGAACAGTTAATAGCTATGATATATCTTTTTTCCAATCAGTTACTCATCTGCCATTAATAATCTTAAAATTATTGTTTCCTTAGCTAACATACAGGCATGCCACTTGAGATTGTATCCAAAGCCTTACTAAATATGAAACCAACATCCTCCTCTGTCCATAAGATCAGTCAACTGTCCTAGAAGGAAGTTAAATTGGTCTGATTATCACCCGTCATAATTTATTTTCATTTGATTGTTAGCTAGGCTCCTTGCTTTCTAGGTCTTTATCCACTTTTTTTTGTTCCGTGTCCTTGTAGCGATTGGAGTCCACCTAATGGTCTGTAACAACTTTTCTCCTGTTTAAAGTCTGGACAAGGACATACCTACTGTCTGTGTTTTGGATTCTCTTTTGTCCTCCATAAATAAGTGTGCTGTAATAGCTGGGGGTTCTGAGAGATTTTCCACTAATTCTCTACATATGGGACGAAACTTACCGCTTTTTGTTCTTCCATCTCAGGAAAGGAGCCCCATGCTCTTCCCTGAGGTGTTTATTCTGCGCTTTCAGATTGGCAGCAGGAGTAGTGTGTACTCCCCAGAGAGCAGTGTAAGGAAGACAGGCTCATACATTTATGAGGAGTTCATGCCTACAGATGGCACTGATGTAAAGGTAAGGAAAAGCCTAGAATAGCTCCCTCCTTCCTTCTCTCCAGGCCTCGATAGCTCAAGGTTGGGCAGTCCTACTTAGTCCTGCTTAGATTCTGGAGTGTTTATTAAAGCTGTGAGGTGCTGACTGTGCAGCTTAGATCCCAAAGTGGGGAGTGGGTGTTCTGTAGGTCTCAACAGGAGGAATGCCTGAGACCGTGTGATCTTCTCCTCTCTGTGTCTGCAGTAGAAATACCTTCTGGAAGCTGCAGTTGGTCTAGGTGATTATGTCAGGTGTAACTATTTCTCTTCCCAGGTGTACACTGTTGGGCCGGACTATGCCCATGCAGAGGCTCGCAAATCCCCTGCTTTGGATGGGAAGGTTGAACGGGACAGCGAGGGGAAAGAGATCCGTTACCCAGTCATGCTGACTGCCATGGAGAAACTAGTTGCCCGGAAAGTCTGTGTAGCCTTTAAGGTCTGTGTTTTCTCTCCTATGCATGCAGGATACTCCACAAATGTCTGATTTGAATCTCAGCCAGTGTTAAGGCTTGAGCTCTGTTACCATGATGTGCCTCTGGTGCAGCAGTCTTCCATGCCTGATGCGGTTGCCGTCTCTGCTGGCTGGGTGCAGCTGGCTCTGCTGGCCGTGGCAGTTTGCTGGTCAGAGATGATTGGGAAGGCAGGAGGGCCTGCAGCAAATACCCTCTGTGCTGGCAGGTGGCTGATGTCCAGTGTACATCTGAGCATTTAATATCAGATTCTGAGCACGCTGCTGCCCATCTGACCTGTGCCGGTCCTGCCTTTACTGTTTGTTAGATATGTTTGTGTGGAAAGCCTGATCGTCTTTTCTTCTGTTTTTGTTGTTGTTGTTCTATTTTTGATCTGGCTTGGGTGCACAATGGTGTTCTATTTTACAGGTTGGTAGAGTGAGTGTCTGAGTCTAGATATGGTTGCATGACATGTTCAGCAATGTCAGCAGAAGAAGCACTTGGCTACTGCCCCTGGTGCAACCTGCAACCCATGCACTTGTGCTGATAGAGCTGTGGGCTTGTTCTGCCTTGTAGCCTTTTCCACGTATTGATGGATGTCTGTGCCTGCACCACTTATTGTCTGTACTTGTCAGTCTGGTTCAAAATGGTTGGATTTAGAGGCAAGAGCAGGAGAGCCAGGAGCTGTCTTAAGCCTTTAGAGCTCTGGGAGGTGGAGGGGTGGCCCTGATGGCTTAATCCAGGGGCTCATGGGTTGGGCCTTTGATACAGCTGCGAAGGTATAAGGGGTCCTCTAAAGGGCCTGTTACTGCTGGCTAGTGGCTGTATTTTCACACTTCTTCAGGGGTGGTGAGGTAGGAATGGAGTGGAGGACAGCCACAGCGCCAGTGGAGCTGAACTGGGCAGTGTGCACTGGCTGGGTCTGTGTGTGCCCCGCTTGGCTGGGCAGCTGCCGTCCCCTTGCTGCACTCCCTCAGAGCGTGCCTGTGAGTCCTTTGTCCTCTGCTTCCTCATGCAGCAAACAGTGTGTGGGTTCGACCTCCTGCGGGCAAACGGCCACTCTTTTGTTTGCGATGTGAATGGCTTCAGTTTTGTGAAGAACTCTATGAAGTATTACGATGACTGTGCCAAAATCCTTGGGTATGTAAAATTCAAGTTTCGACAGCGGGTAAGGTAACTCATAGCAAAGTAAAATGCGTGTGGAGTCCTGATCAGCATGTTGGAGAAGTCTGCAGGTGGTTCATCAGCAGGTGAAAGCTTGGCTCTGGGAGGAATGGGTTAATTATTTCTAGCCCCTTGGAGCTCCTGCCTGCATTGGCATTAGCTGTCTTTGTCTGCAGCTAGATGTGTCTTACAGGACTTTTCATTGGATGCTAAGCCCAGCTGCAGTATTGGTGATGTGAGGGAAATGAAATTGGTGTCCCTTTGGGGTGCCCTAACTAGCCCATGGTGTGATAGATGTCTCTGCGAGGAAGGTGAGGAGAAACTCCGTGGGTCTCTTCAAATTTTCAGCTAGACCACTAAGGAGAAGGTGGAGAACCAAGGGAATGGAATTTCTTGTGATTTTTGTATTCTAATTTCTTCCAGAAATATAATCATGCGGGAATTGGCTCCCCAGTTCCATATTCCCTGGTCCATCCCAACAGAGGCAGAAGACATTCCCATTGTCCCCACAACTTCAGGCACCATGTGAGTACCTGCCATCTTCTCAAAAGAATGTCGGTGATGGCTACATGAGGGACAAAATGCAAACCCTGTCCAAGGGACAGACATCACCCAGCAGCATAGTGTTCTCTAGCTGTGTGTTTGTTGCAGCCCTGAAATGCCTCTGGAAGGGCTTAGCCATGCACACAAAAGAGGTGATAGATGGTAAATTAGTCATAGGTTTGATGAATGCAGACGAGCAGTCATTGAAGGAATTACAGAAACTGCTCACGTGGCTTTCAGAAGGCCCAAATTCTTGATCAGCACAGGAAATGGATTAGGGCATGACTCTAGCTGGCTCACAGTTCAGTAGGCTGCTACTTGGAGAAAATGCATGTTGAGCTGCCAGTGAGATGGGTGGAAAACAATTAGTGTTCACATTACCTGTGCACTCGGCAGACCCTCATTTGATACTGTTGGCCTTACTAGTTTTCCACCACATAAGGCTAAAAGACCAAAGGCAAAAGTTTGTTTGTGGTCCTCAGCACACTTGTACACTTGTATGACGTGAACAAGTCGGTGCCACAGTAAAGGTAGATTGAGAATATGTATTAATCCTTCCTTTACTGTGTGATCATTTGGAAAACGTTGGCAAAACCAAACACTGTGCAGCTCACAGGTCTGCTGGCTTCAATGACACCTTGTGACAATGAGACTGATAGAATCAACCCCTGTTTTTCTGGGGTCCTATAAGAAATAGTTGCATATTGTAGCTACTGAAAAAGCAAACTCGTGTAGCCCTTCTGAAATTAGCCAGCCTAACTACTGGTCCCTGCATGTGGCTGATGGCTATGAGATCTTTCTATGTACTGCTATAACTGATTGCTCAAAGACAAGACCCCAGCTGTATAACCATTCTTCTGAGCCAAGTAGTTTTTTCCTGGGTCTTTAAGTGGTCATATAGCATTACACAAATTTGGCATGGCACAAAAACAAGCTTGGCACAATTCAAAATGCTGTTTCTGTAGATTCTGTAACATCTAGCCTGGTCCCTTCTGCTGCAGATGTGGTTCTGCCTGTCATATTATGGTACTGTGGTGCTTTTCCCTGATAGGAAACCAGATGACCTGGTAGTGTCTGCAGTACTTTGACTACTTTTACAGCCTTGGCACTTGTGTCTGCTTTAGTCTGGGAGAAGTTCTGCCACTGATGAGGAAAGCAGCTGTCAAAAGAATGGGACTGAAAGAACAATGGGAAACTACTTTCTGGTGGCAGTTCTGGAGCGTAGGGGCACATTTGGCAGGTGTATCTTGTGTTTTCCCAGGATGGAGCTTCGTTGTGTTATTGCAGTCATCCGGCATGGAGATCGCACCCCAAAGCAGAAGATGAAGATGGAAGTTAAGCATCCTCGGTAAGAGCCAAGGCAGGAAGATGCTGTGCTGCTGGGAAGTGAGGAGGGCCTATTTTCTGAATCAAGAAGAGGAGCAGAAGGGTTGAGTGTTTGGGAGACAGTGCTTTTTCCTGGCTCCATTCAAGCAAATGCTTTCTACCCAGTTGAGGGAGCCCCCTTTCCCCCTAAAGATCCTGACGCCTTCTGTGTGAACACTGGAAGAAAGAGTGAAGGTCTCCAAAGGGAAGTGCCCCACTAAATGGGAAGCTAGTGGCTACTTCCTTTTTGTACCTGTGGCTGAAAACACTTGGTTTTTTTCAGAATTTCTGAAGCACAGGAAGGAGCCAGTGGGCCTGCTGGTTCTCCCTGAAGAACAGAGTGTCAATGCATGTGTAGGGATGGCAGTCCTTGTAGCACTGAAACAGCAGAAAATGGATCAGCGTTCTTTGTTGTCTGTTCAGGTTCTTTGAATTATTTGAGAAATATGATGGCTACAAGACAGGGAAGTTGAAGCTGAAGAAACCAGAGCAGCTACAGGTGAGGGGAGTCCTCTCTGGAGTTACTGTGTGGGACATGCAGGCACTACAGATGCCAGCACAAGGCAACAGTCCGTCGCACAAACGTTCTCTTTCTCATTCCCCACCCCATGCACACTCAGGTGGGTGATAGTATGAGAGCAGAGTGGAAACTGTTCCTGGCTAATGTGAAGACTGTAGGATGGGGATGTCATGATGCAGCTTGCCCCTCTGTTGTGTTTGCCTCTGGTGAAAGACGGGTCCAGGCAAGGGAGTGGGGCAGTTGGAGGCACCTGTTTGGTTCTGAATGGGTCGTCTGGAGCACAGGGTGGGGATGAAGCAAACTGCAGTGTGAAAGTTTAACCTACCTGAGCTGTGTCTTATGAAATGACGTGTCTCTGATGACTGTCTGTATGAACGTGATGCTGGGTGAAGCCATCTGGAGGCTTTGCAAGAGTACAGTGGTGAGTCTGAGGCAGAATTGCTGGGTGCTTGAGACAGTGTCTGCTCTCCAACAGGAAGTGCTGGACATTGCACGGCAGCTTGTGGTGGACCTGGGAACCCACAGTGATTGTGAGATTGAGGAGAGGAAATCCTCGTCTTGGAGATGTAAGGGTTCATATCTCAGTGCACTGTGAGTTTGTCTCAGAGCTGTGGGTCAGCACGTGGCGTAGAAACAAGCTGTGCTGCTGATGTCCTGGCCAGCTGGCTCCCCAGAGGTCAGAGTCTCCGCCATCCCTGTTAGCAGCTGTACGTGAAAAGTGCCATGCTCTTAACATTTTCTTCTCGGCATCAAAACCACTGCTGATTCTTGTTCCAAGTGTGTCTGGTTTTTGGCTAAACAACTTGAGACAAAACTGACCTTCCTTTGCTGTGGGAGAGGAACTGGAGTCCTGTAGGGACCACATCGATATGAAGCATTTTGATAAATTTGGGACAAATCTTGTTTTAAGTAAGGTTGTCCTGGTGCCAAAAGTTTAACAAAAATGAGCTTGGAAAACATAAAAAGATGTTTGTGTCCTCTTAGGTTTCATACAGCTGAAATAAAAGACAAGATGGTGATGTTGGCATCTTACAAAGAAAAGGAGGGTTTCTCTCAGAACCACATCGATATGAAGCATTTTGATAAATTTGGGACAAATCTTGTTTTAAGTAAGGTTGTCCTGGTGCCAAAAGTTTAACAAAAATGAGCTTGGAAAACATAAAAAGATGTTTGTGTCCTCTTAGGTTTCATACAGCTGAAATAAAAGACAAGATGGTGATGTTGGCATCTTACAAAGAAAAGGAGGGTTTCTCTCAGAACTATAGCCTCGCTGTGGCAGGTGCAGTGTCTGTGTTCAAGCCATGTCTGTGGAGCACAGAGGATGAATTTTTGCCATGATTCCTTCCCTTGCTCTTTCTGCTCATTAGAGATGTGATTATCCTCAGAGTGACTGGCAAATTGATTTTTTTTTCTGTGATCCCACTAATTCACTTGTTAAAGATGTAGATAGAAATTAACTAAGGTTGATTAAAGCCCTGGTGGAGTATGAGAGCACAGAGTGCTGTCAGCTGAAGAACAGGCAAGTAAATGTGTCTTGGAATTTTATTTGGGGGGGTTGTTTGGCTTTTTTTTTTTTTCCTGGGTGGGGGCTGTGCATGCTGGGTCACAGGTAGATGTAAAAATGTTTATGTTCCCTGGCTATTGGTGTTGCAGCAGAAAGTCTGTGCCTGTGCTGTATTTTTACTGTGTGCTGCCTAGGGACCTCTAGGCAAAGGCTGAGTAGAGTTGGTTTGTTTAAACTTTTCCTCACCTCTCCTTGTGACAGGTATGGACATTTTTCTGGCATTAACCGTAAGGTGCAGTTGACCTATCTGCCTCATGGACATCCAAAAGCTGCAAGTGAAGATGAAGGTAAAGAAATTGGATGTTTCTGCCATGATGTTAAAGCCTGGTGTTCAAGAGTGCATGAAGCCATCCTACCCTATATAGACCTCTGGACATCCAAGCAAAATTAGTGACCCATATCTTATCTTTGCTCACATCATATGAAGGGTTGGAGTGATGCATGATGTAGTGTACCGGTATACCCTGGATGGTGGCAGAGGGCTTATGTTTCCAATTTCATGAATGTCAGCCTATACCTTCAAAAAGTAGTGACTCTTAATTTTGTACTTGCTGGCTTGGTTCCTGTGGATTTTGGTTCAGGCTTGTGTTGAGAACGCTCTGCAAGGTGCTGACAACAACCTCTTCTGCCTCCCCTCCTCTCCCCCTGCAAGCTCAGCTTTGAGATCTGATGTAGTGAGTACCTGTTTGTCTCCTAGAAGCTCGCCGAGAGTCTTCCCCATCCCTTCTCCTGGTGCTTAAGTGGGGCGGAGAGCTGACACCAGCAGGGAGAGTCCAGGCAGAAGAGCTGGGGCGAGCCTTTCGCTGTATGTACCCTGGTGGCCAAGGTAAGCTTTGTCCGTGTGTCTCGGTCCTGTCCTGTGACGGTGCCAGGCTAGCCAGGTGACTGCTCACCAGTGTGAGGGATGCTCAGACATCTGTGGGATGTGTGCAGCCTGTGTGACTCAGGTCATCACTGGTTTTGTTCTTTTGAGTTGACCTGGTAAGGATAAATAATTCAAGTGGGTTTTGCACCCAGAGATCCCTAAGCTGGCTAGAGGTGTCTGCTGCAGTGGTGAAACTTTAGTATGTCTTGGGGCACAATAGTATTCTTTCAATTAATGTGCCAGTATTCCAAAAAGAGAAGCCATGATAATAAGATATATTCTGATGCAGAAAATATGATTCAAAATTTATGTGTGATTAACAAGGAATTTAGGTCAGATATAGAAAACAGAGGAAATCTGTCTTGGAACACAGATAATTCTGCCTGGAGGCAGGAGAATAGGAAGGTAACTTCTCCTTATTTTCTCCACCATAATTCTGTGACTCCGAAAAGCATGTAGTACACACACAGATCAGCAGAGCCCAAAGGAAGAAAAAAAAGACTGAAATTGCCTTTTGCATCCAAGTAAAAGTCAGTAAAAGTAATACACTGCTGCTGTATTTATCTGATGAGACCAGTATTGGATACTGCTTATCTTTGACTTGTATGTTTAATTAATTTAATTTAATGAATTAATTTTCAAATTAATTAAGCTAATTGAAATTGAATTGGAGAAGATTTCCTTCTGGAATAAGGAAGAGTTACCGGGGAATGCTTAAGCAAACAGGACATACTTAAGTTCATGGGCCCTGATGGGATGCACCCACAAGTGCTGAGGGAGCTGGCAGATGTGACTGCAAGGCCACCCTAGATTATCTTTGAAAGGTTGTGGGGACTGGGAGAGGTGCCTGAGGACTGGAGGAGAGGAAATGTGACTCTGAGCTTCAAAAACGACAAGGAAGACCCAGGGATCTACAGGCTGGTCAACCTCACCACAGTCCATGGGAAGGTGATGGAGCAGCTAATCCTGGAAACTACTTCTAGGCATGTGAAGGATAGGAAGGTGATTTGGAGTAGTCAGCATGGATTCACAAAGGACATGGTTGTCCTTATCTAGCAGGGTGTTTCTTTGAGTTTGTGAGCTCAGAGCTGGGAGCAGTTTTCTCATCTTCTCATGCAGTGTGACTCGGTACTGCGCAAAATCATCACGGGATTCCAGGCAGCAGCAAATTAGTCACCACTGTACTGTCTTTGGAGGGTCAGACTCAAGAACTGCATGAGTTGCTTTCTCCCATTACTGATCTGGCTCCTGTGGTTGACTCAGCCATCATAAAAAAACCAGCATTTTTTGCTGCAAGATAATCGTAGCTCTATAGGATATGCTTTGGAACTCAGGTGCCTCCCTGCTAAATAGCTCTGCCTGCAGTTCTGGTGGGAGCAGTACCTGCTCTTGTGCAGAGAACAAGTGGAAGGAGGCAATTTTTTTTGGTGCATCTGCATTCTACTTAGGGGTATTCAGGCTAGTAGAACAATTATGGACTGTTCAGAGAGGGTTGCTGCAGAATTTGGGCAGCATCAGACTTGACTGGTGAATGCTCAGTTTTTCCTCAAAATGAACTTTCCCAAGTTACACAAAGCCTGAATCAGGTCTCTAGCCATCATGTATGGCTAGAACTGTCTGTGTTGGAGCAGCCTAAATGCTGACTATGAAAGTGATGAATTCTCTATGTAACTTTGTTACTAGTGTAAAGTTTGTTGTCTAAAGCAGTATATTCAGCTGATAGTTTTGCAGGTGTCAGAATATTAATTTTGAGTTTCTTCTGTGTTCCAGGTGATTATGCTGGTTTCCCTGGATGTGGCTTGCTCAGGCTGCACAGCACCTACCGTCATGATCTCAAGATCTATGCCTCAGATGAGGGACGAGTTCAGATGACAGCAGCAGCTTTTGCAAAGGTCTTTTCTCTCTTTTGGCCATCTGTTAGTTCTGCTACATTAGTCTTAAAATATGCCACTTCTAAAGCAAAACCTCTGGTGATGAGGAAGGAGCTGTCCTAGGAGCTTCCCCCTCTCCATTGGGAGAACAGTGATACACTATGCTAATAGCAAGTGTATGGGGCAGTACTGGAAATCTAGCGTAGCTGCAAATGTATCTTACCTTTAGTATCCTGTCCAGGATAGCACTCTGACTGGAGCAGGAGTTATTTATGGAACATTGCTGGTGTTTGATGCTAGACCACATCAAGCCTGTGGCTGAGTATTAATTGTCTACAAAGTGAGCGTTTCTTGGATGACTGCCCAGCCAGAGGAGTGTCCTGGTTTTGGCTAGGATAGAGTTAATTTTCACAAGGAGCCAGGACAGGTGAGCCAAGCTGACCGTGGGGCTATTCCATACCATGTGAGGTCACGCTCACCATAAAAGGGGGCTAGCCAGGGAGGGATGCGTTCTGTGCGGCTCTGGGATGGTCTGAGTGTGGGCTGAGCGTCTGGTCAGTTGTTGGATCAGTAAATTGCTTTCTGTTATCACCCATTCTGAACATTCTGTTATCAGTACTGCTGTTGTTGTTGTTTCCCTCTCCCTTGCTGTCCCAGTAAACTGTCCTTATCCCAACCCACGAGGCTTTGCCTTTGTTTTCCCATTCTCCTCCCCATCCCACCGGGGGAGGTTGGGGGGAGGGTGTGAGTAGAGCGGCCGCGTGGTGCTCAGCTGCTGGCTGGGGCTAAACCACGTCAGTCCTTTTTGGTGCGCAACATGGGGCACAAAGGGTTGTGATAATGACAGATCTGACCCCAGCGTGTTAAAACAAAGTTGTTATAAGTATTTATAATGTTATTTAAACAGTCGCTGGTCACAGTGATGTTATGTTTGGTCATGTGGCTCTGGTATGTGAACCTGTATTTACTCCATGTAATCCCTGCAATGCTATTTATCACCTCTGGGAGAGGGGTTTGTATTCTTGTTTTGTTGTACTGTGTGATATCAACTTATGATAACATCAGTGGTCATAAGTCTAAGCTGGTACTTGTACGTAGCATTTCTGTCATGCCCGTACCTCGGTCAACATCTCTCAGAATTGATTAATAATTGCACCCAATCTATGGGGAAGATGGGGGGATACCTTCTCCCACTCTTTCACCTCCCCTTTTTCCTTTTGGCTGGTTACAATAATTTTTGAGAATTTTGAATACCCTTGGACTGTTCAGGCCAGTATATTCCTATTGCTAGGTCTCCTGAATGTGTTTCAAGTCCTGTTCAGGGTTACAGAAAATTGTTTTAAGAATACCGTCCAGGGATCTTCCCCGAGGCTGAACAGTCAGGGCTGGCATGGCATGTGAGGGAGTATGGGCGGGTATCTAGAGACATTTTCATCCCCTGTGGTTTGGAGCTTCACTCCCAAACAACTGCAGGAGCCTGATAAACTGGTATAATATTTGAAAGGAAAATGCTTGTGGCTATTCCAAAGAAGCACAACTTATTGCACAGTGCTGGGCCCTGGCCACCCTCTACCAAACACTGCTCGATAGTAGGCAGTGCCATCAGGGGGAAGAGAAGGACAACAGACCCACAGGCACTGTGGCTACTCAAACCCTGGTGACAGGCACTGTAGCTGAGCCAAAAGATCAACCTGTTCCAGTATCAGTCGCCCCTATACACAAGAAGAAATACACAAAGAAATCAGTTCGCTTAGTGAAGGATGATGATGAACTGGGACCATCAGGAGAACAGGAAGAAGAGACAGAACTAGAGATAATCACCTGATCCCTGTCCCTGAGTGAGCTGCAAGATATGTGGAAAGATTTCAGCCGCCTTCCAGGCGAGCACATCATTACCTGTCTGCTCCAATGCTGGGATAATGGAGCCAGTAGCCTGGAACTGGAGGGCAGGGAGGCCAAGCAGCTGGGATCCCTGTCTAGGGAAGGGGGCATTGACAAGGCAATTGGGAAAAAGACACAAGCCCTCAGCCTCTGGAGGTGACTTCTTCCAAGCGTGAGGGAAAAGTATCCCTTCAGTGAAGATGATGTATGTCAACCAGACAAGTGGACCACCATGGAGAGAGGCATCCAATAGCTGAGGGAATTAGCTGTGCGGGAAATGGTTTATTATGACCTGGACAACGCACAGTTACCCACAGACCCTGATGAAGTCCAATGTACCTGACCCACGTGGCGGAAGTTTGTACAGAGTGCACCATCATTGTACGCCAACTCACTAGCAGTAATCGACTGGAAAAGCAAAGAGGCACCAACAATGGATGAAGTGGCTGGCTGACTCCAGCAATGTGAACGAGTCTCTCTTCCTCCCTTGAGAGGAAGAGAATGAGTCTCTCTTCCTCCCTTGTCTTGGCTGTGGAGAAACTGTCCCGGGAGGTGCGGCAACTCGAAGAGGATATGTCCTACTCCCCACCTGCACAGACCCATATATCAGCTATTAGGAGTAAACATTCTTCTGCTCCAGACAGGGCATATAGAGCATATACATCACAAAGCATCGTGTGGTTTTACCTGCACGACCATGGAGAGGACATGAGGAAGTGGGGTAGAAAGCCTACTTCAACCCTACGGGAGCTGCAAGGCAAAACAGTCATAAAAAAGGGATTCTTCCAGGAAAAATGCCACTCCAGTTTCCAGCGGGCAGCCCCCCAGACTGAGTGAAAGGCCTGATCACACTTATGATCCTCTTGAAGGGACTTTCTTGGAAGCAAGATACTGCTGCCTGGCTAGAGAAGCTGGTTGTAAAGGTACGTCACGTAGATGCCCATATACCCAAGAGTCGGGCCACTGAGGAACATCAAAACAACTAGCAGTGGATTAGGCTACTGAGACTGAAGTGGCTCAGGTGGATTTGGACTGGCAATGTAAAAGTGAATTATTTATAGCTCGTTGGGCCCATGACACCTCAGGCCATCAAGGAAGAGATGCAACGTATAGATGGGCTCATGGTTCGGGGGTGGACTTGACCATGGATGCCATCTCACAGATTATCCATGAATGTGAAACATGCACTGCAATCAAGCAAGCCAAGCGGTTAAAGCCTCTTTATGGAGGTATGGAGGACGATGGCTGAAATATAAATATGAGGAAGCATGGCAGATTGATTACATCACACTCCCACAAACCTGCCAAGGCAAGTGCTACGTACTTACAATGGTGGAAGCGACCACTGAATGGCTGGAATCGTATCCTGTGCCCCTTGCCACTGCCCGGAACACTATTCTGGGTCTTGAAAAGCAAGTCCTGTGGTGACATGGCATCCCAGAAAGAATTGAATCAGACAATGGGACTCATTTCCGGAACAACCTCATAGGCAGCTGGCCCAAAGAGCATGGCATGGAGTGGGTGTATCACATCCCCTATCATGCACCAGCCTCTGGGAAAATTGAATGATACAATGGACTGCTGATGACTACACTGACAGCAATGGGTGGTGGGACCCTCAAACACTGGGATACACATTTAGCAAGGGCCACTTGGTTAGTTAACACTAGGGGATCTACCAGTCGAGCTGGCAGGTAGCAGAGGATGGTTTCAATGCATTGACCTCTGGATTATGGGCCCAGCAAGCTTCCACTGCCCAATCAAAACTTTCACGCCCCATAGAAGGGGATAAAGTTCCCGTAGTGTGCATGAAAAATGCAGCCAGAGGGGTTATTCCTTAACTGCTGGATTTAAAAGGGGAATGAAATGTCTTTGGTGCAGGGTGGGGTGGGGATTGGAGAGAAGACGGATTAATCTGCAGTTAAAGCTTGAACCAAGGGGAATCCTGTGGGACCTTGGCTGTTCTTCAGAGCCTCTGCTGTATCAACATTTTCCAGCAAACTCTGGTGGGTGCTCAACAATTGCCTAGACAAATCTGGAGCTGCTGCAGGCAGAGCTGGCCTTTTGCGTCAAATAGCTCTAGAAGTATGCCAGAATCACTGGTGACTGTAAGTGCTGTTGCTGTAAAACTGCTCTTCAAGGACAGTTGAGATTTCACTCAAGTTGACTGAAGGCTGGCCATGAAACTACCAGAAAAGTTTGTTGTTTGGGTTGCCCATAGCTGAAATCTTGTCCTGTGTTGCTTTAGGGTCTGCTAGCCCTGGAAGGAGAGCTGACCCCCATCCTGGTGCAAATGGTGAAAAGTGCCAATATGAATGGTCTCCTGGACAGTGACAGTGATTCCCTTAGTAGCTGTCAACACAGAGTGAAGGCACGACTGCGTGAAATCATGCAGAAGGACGCTGAGTTCTGTGAAGAGGATTATGAAAAGGTAAAGCACCTGTGTGGCTTTATTGCTTCCTGTATCTGGAAGGAGAATAGCATTGCTCCAGTGGTTTGATGTGAAGCCTGCTGGTATGTGAACAGTAGTTTGGTTAGTCTGAGATCAGTTCTGGTCAAAATTACAGATTATAAACAGAAGGGAAAGGGCGGGTTAAGGCTCCTGCCCTTCTCCAAGTGAAAATCCTCAGTGTTGCTCCACTGTCCCCTTCAAGAATTATCATGGTACCTTCCTCTTCCTTTAGAAGTCCCAGTGCCTTTTATTCTCATGGGTGTGCCAAAAGAAGAGTTCTCATGATTTACTGCATGCTGCCCAGAACAATCCCAGTTGCTTTGGACAGGGAATACACCTTGCCAGATTCTAGATCTGTGCTCTGTGCATGTGTGAACAGATCTTTTGGGTAAAAACCCTTTTGTGGTCCTATGAGCATCTGATAACTGCAGAGTAGAGAGCATGGGCTATATCCAGCAAAGCAACCAATGAAAGCACTATAGCTGCGTCTCCAACAAGCCCCCAAACACTATTTTTCCCAGCCTCAGAGATCTGATTACGAGACTGAAATCCATTACCATTAAGGAACATGTTTATCACCTCAAAAAACTACTTAAAACTTCTGTGAAGCCCTTCTGCTCAAGCACAGAAGCAAAGTGAGACAAGAGTGGATATTGTAGGTGGAGGGAGATCTGATCTGATAGGAGCAATTGTTTGCTCCCTCTGAGTTTGGTCCTGAGGAAGTTGTTAAAACATGCCTAACTACCCCTAGGAATAGGCCAGCTTATTACGCTCAGCAGGGAGCACAACTTTTGTACCTAATCAGAAAGCAGTACAGCTGCAAAAGGCAGATATTTTGTGTTCCCAGTTCATAAAGATACTAACTAATCTCCACTGGTATTTTCTCTCAGCTAGCACCTACAGGCAGTGCTTCTCTGCTCAACTCCATGACGTTTATCCAGAACCCAGTAGAAGTCTGTAACCAGGTGTTCACCCTGATCGAGAATCTCACCTCCCAGATACAAAAACGCCTGGAAGATCCAAAATCTGCAGGTGAGCATCAGAACTGGAAAGGGTCTGGAGCAGATTTATTTATTGTTACATCTTCAGAGCTCCCAAACACCACTATGGTTTATGTTTGTCTGTAGCAAAGAAATTCTAAAGTGAAATTCTGTTTGTGGTATTGATGTAGAAGGCTCCTATTCCACTTTCAGCTACTGGTAAAGAGAGCTGCAATGTAAAGGAAATGATATGTGCATGCTGGGTTTAGAGTGAATGTAAACAGAAGCAGTATAGCCTAGAGAGGTATGCCTGATTTTTTCAAGCATTTCCTGGAGGGGAGCTCAAGACTATAAACCAGCAAGTTTTTCAGTCAGGATTTCCTCGTCTCTAAGAACTTTCCTAATAACAGTGCAGAAGTTTTAAAAAGGCATCTGTGGGACACTTCACACAATTTATGGTAGACATAAGCCAAAAGGCAAGCAGTTTCACTTTTCTCAAATATTTTGGAAGTAGCTTTTTGCTGCAGGTTAAAACTCCATGCAACAGGTCCAGTGGCTTTTCCAGTCCAGGATTCCTGTGGGTGCCATAATAATTAGAGCCCTTCTGTGCTGAGAAAAGTCAGTCATAACTGGCAGTTGAAATCTATGCAGAACTAGTCAGGATGTGAATGTGGATTGGTGTTCTCTGCTGTTTAGACCTGCAGCTGTACCACAGTGAGACTTTAGAACTAATGTTGCAACGCTGGAGTAAGCTGGAGCGAGATTTCCGCATGAAGAATGGGCGTTACGACATCAGCAAGATCCCTGATATCTATGACTGCATCAAGTATGATGTACAGCACAACTGTGCCCTGAAACTGGAAGGCACAGCTGAACTCTTCAAGCTCTCCAAAGCCCTAGCAGATGTGATCATACCCCAGGTATAGCCTGTCGTGCCTGTGTGATGATAATGTCTGTGGTGTCGGTTTCTGACCCTTTCCCTGTCTGTTTTTTCTCAGTTCTCTTGCACGTTAAGTCTCAAGGCAATGTATCACAGGTATTTTTCAGATACATATCTTGGTGTTTGTATAAGACCAAAACCATTTATGACCTAAGATGTGGCAGGGCTGGTTTCCTGGATAAGGATTCTGACAGCGTCAGAATAATGAACAGCTGACACAGCAGCTTTTCCACATTCATCGTAGTGCATTATAGCACAGCATCGAGCTGAGCGTGTGTGCTATAGCAACATCCCATTCTCCACATACAAGATTGTACAGGGGAAGAGAAATTTCTGAGTTAAAGCGAAGGCTTGTTCTGGCATATTTGTTATTCTTGTCAAACTAGAACTTGTTCAGCTTGCAAAGTTGGCTTGCTTCTCACAAAGTTTATGCCCATGAACGTGGGAGGGGAAAGGAAGGCCACATGCAATGGATGTCTGCATTCACCATTGTTCTGTCCCGCTTTCATTTATACGGGATGAGCTTCTACCAACAAGGTCCAATGCACTTGTGCCCATGTAGAGCAGAAGTGGTCTTCTAAGCTTTTTCACAGTGTTCCTGATGAGATGCAGTTTGGCTATTTCCAATATAGCTCTTCAAGTTTTATCTTTGCAAATAGCAGTTGTTGCATTAATGCTCATGCCAGGTCAGGGTATACGTTTGTGTGTCATGAGAGGAGGTTCCCTGATGCTACTTGCGCCTCTCAGCTGTTGGAAGAATCCTGACAGTCATGTCTAAACAGATTGGGATTCTTGGAGGAGTCTCTGTTCCCTGTTACCCTCTGCAATATGGGG